GCAGACAACCTTCTGAATTTCATATATGGTTTACTTCTCTTTCTCCAAAGCTGCAAAGCTGTTTGGAGATTAAAACAAAATCATTATTTTCTTTTCCCAGTGTTTGAAAAGCATTTCAAATTAAAAAAAGAATGAGCTAAAATTATCTGCTAGAAATAGCTGTAATGGACTTTTGCTGGCGTGTTCTCTAGACTTTTCTAGCAATGAGTTTCCTGGATCTTCCTCATCAAAGCAGGCCAGAAAGCATGGTCAGTCACACCTCAACAGCCCCTTCATCACTCATAAGATTTCATTTTTTTAACAAGCAAAATTTTGAATGAAAAGTTTAATGATCATAAGGGACATACATAGAAAAAATATTTGCTTTCCTGTCACATTTCGCACTCCATTTATGCACAACTCCCTCCTCATTTAAAGTATTTACTGTAGCAGGAGGCCTAGTTCCTCTCTGAGACACAACACTCTCCTCCTTTGCTGACTTCCCAAACGGAAAAAACCAAAGCAACACCCTATTGGTTTCCTGTTCAGTAACTATGACTCAGGCTGGAGAAAGAAGATACTATTACAGACGGCATGCAAAAAGCAGAGATCCCATCAAATCTAATTTGTTCATTAAAATCCAACTAGAATTGCCAGTTTCAGCTTTTCTGTAGGGCAGAAATATGTTTGCAGAGAGAGAGGGAGGACAGACAGCTCAGCAGTGCTCTCAAGGCTTTCACAGGCAAGAACAGCCATGAAGTGATAGAACTGACTCATCTGCACATCCATGAATCTCTGGTCCAGACAGAAACAATACAAAAACTAGTGTTACAGAATTGCCATCACTGGCACTCTGGTTCACTGATAATTTGATTTCCTTTCTAGGGAGGCGCATACGTGGTAAAGCTGTTTGAAGAATATGCTACCGGCCCAGCTGTCCTAACAGTGGTGTTCCTGGAATCAGTTGCTGTGGCCTGGTTCTATGGTAAGTTTACTGCCCCGTTGACAAACGATGCTAACCAGATTCCCTTAGCTCCTGCGGAACAGCAGACAGGACCACTGATGTCTCAGAAAAAGTTTATGTATTGTCAGATCTGTGAGAATTATTATTGATTCTTCTCTGGCAGAAGTACAGTGACATCTAAAAGTAACAAGAGACATAATTTAGAGCAGTTAAGGATTTAATGTAATTAAGAGTTATAGGGACAAAGCAGTATTTCATTATGTATTCTCAATTCATTTTGTGCATAGTATACCTACTTGTGAAAAACTTGTTTCTCCTGTTGCCGCTCTCCTCCCACTTGTCTCCACAGGCATTACCCAGTTTTGCAGTGATGTGAAAGAAATGCTAGGCTTTACCCCAGGCTGGTACTGGCGAATTTGCTGGGTAGCAATTAGCCCCATCTTCCTTTTGGTGAGTTTGCTTTACAGCCTTTTTTCCCAGCACAAGAAAATTACTGTTGAGCAATGCAGTTCCTTAGAGTTCTAAAAGTTTAATTGAAGAATTTTCTTGTGAAGTTCTTTCTTTAACAACAATTCTTGTTAAACCAAAAATGCTCAATTAGTGAGAAGTCCAATGAAATGCTGGTAGGTCTAGTTACTAAATCAGTATTTTAAGGTTTTTTGTAGGTGAGCAAGATAAACAAGAGTGGGTTCTGAATAACCTCCCCAGTGAGCAAAGCTACCTTGCTTTGTTGCTTTATATTTACCTCAGCAAAATGAAACCATAAAAGATGATGATGAAACATACTGTCAGGGGAGGAAAACCAAGATAACAATTAAATATTTACCAGCTCAATATCTACTGACTGACAACTTTAGAATATCTCACTTAAAATTTACAGTAGTTAATGGCAACCTTTATAAATCTATAATTCAGAATTGGAAATACTGTCCCAATGTTTGACTTGGCAGCATTATCGATAACATTTTAATATAAAGTGTTCATTTCCTGATCCAAAATTAGTTCACACTGTCTTTTATCGTTACTAGCCTTAGGGAGAGCAGAGCAGGTCAAGATGGAGTTTATAACAAACAGAATGTAGACTTAAGGCCTACAAGAGTGAATTTAAAACACTGTTGTAATGATTAATGTGTTTAACTGATTTTAATTTTATTACCTGTAGAAAAAGAAAAAAGGCTATGACTAGATGTGTGACACCACAAATAATTTTTATACTACTGTCTACTTTGTGATCCTAAAACAGTAAAGCAAACAGAGAGGAATACAGCTTTGGTGATGTGGTTACTAGGCAAAGCTATTTGTATTCTCAGTGGAAACTAAACTAAAAGGAGGAAAGCCCGTAAGGTAATACATTATTTCTCTATGGAAATTTTGCTGGTAATCCTGATCTTTTGATGATACCCTGTGAAAATGGAGTCGGAGCTCCCTCCAGAGATGATAGTCACAAATATTATTCACCTAGTATTCAACCAAAAAGTTGTGCTTCACGAGAAATTTCTTTGTCACGAAGGATATGCAGGCTGAAGACAATGAATCAAATTCTGAGTAAGACTGAACCATACAGTTTGTTCCTTCTGGGAACACATGGGACCAGGAAGACACTGTAGTACCAAAAAACCAGACATGCTTTGTAGGAACCCTGAAACAGTATAACCTCATTCAAGCTGGACAAACCTGGAATTACACAAACCTGGAATTACACAAAAGTGTCTCATTCCCTCAATCCTTCATTATGGACCTAAGAAAGTTAGTCTCTGATAAAAATGACCAAAATAAAATAGGCATAGGCACACTTTCAGATCTGAGAATAAGGTAATGTTTGCTTAACCCTAAAAGAACACTTACACTATGTATCAAAATAAAAAGCATGCTCAGTAAAATTATAGAAGAAGGAAACAATCACAATGGATGAGAACGAGCTATAAACTGTTAAGCAGTTAAATATTGAACAAGCAGCTAAAGGAAATTGTACACTTGCCATTTCTGATGGCTTCAACTTAAGATGATGCCTTTCTGGAGGAAATGCTTTAGTTGGAATCAAGTTACAGGGCTCAATACCAGGGTAACTGGATGAAATTCTACATATTGGTATTGATTAATCTGATTTTTCTCCATCTAACCATCTTTTTTTTCCTTTAAGCATACCAGTCTGGTCCTCTATTTTCTCTCTAATGCTCCTTAGGCAAGAACCATCACCAAGCTCATTTATGGCATAAACAATCCATGTGGGAATTCTCTCCTAGTTCCTTTCAGTTACTGGTTGGGTTATACCCTGAAGCTCCTGAGTTCATCAAACTCTCTGAAGGAAAGGTTGGATACCCAATCTTTTTTTTTTTTTCTTCTTCTTTTTTTAATCCATACAAATGACTCTTGGGATTTTTTCAATGTCTATATGTGTTTAATCCTTTTTAAGTCCTCCTTGTATTTTTAGTTCAATGCTACATTGAGGCAGAGAGTTCCCTAAAGTAACAGTGTGTGCCATCAAAATACATGTATTTATACACTTTTTTCCTTCCAGTTTGTCACTTGCAGCTTTCTATCCAATCCTCCTGAGCTACGGCTTTTTGATTATAATTATCCCTATTGGACCACAGTAGTGGGTTATTGCATAGGAACCTCTTCTATCATCTGCATTCCAGCCTACATGGTTTATCGGTTGATCATCACTCCAGGAACACTTAAAGAGGTATGCAATATGCTCTGTTTCTGCAAGTTTATTTGACTGTTAGGAAGGAGGCAAGTCCTATAAACATGATTTGTGGCTCTTTCCAGGGTCTGATGCCTTGCGACTTGAGGATTATTGCCACTTTGTTCCTAGTCAGCTGATAGCTCATTGTCCTCTGCCCACTGAGTGACACACTAATATCCCAGGCCTTGATAGGGCCATTGACATATTCATATCAAATATTAAACCAGATATTGTTTTTTTAAGCTCTGGTGAACAGAGGGCTCTCTCTAAAAATCATATACAACAGAGTATCAACTAAATGAGCCAGTGAAAGATAGTTCCCTTGGGTATGTCTATCAGAACAAATTTATTTTTCTCTTCCACAGTTAAGGTTTCTCTGTCATAAATCTATAGCAGCCTCTGATGACATTTTGGGAGTTTCTGTAAGTTGTATGTAAATACCAGTTCAGGGAGAATATGTTCAAGTAGTTCATAGTTCAGGGTAGTCAAGTAAATTACAAAGTCCTAAAGCACTAATACAAAATCTGTCTTGCTTATATTCAAGTTATATATGTTACAAATAATAAATAATAGTGTACATTTATTTCTACAACACTATGTCTTCATAGTGCTTAGATAACATGAGACTGAAACATCTTTGTGTGGTAATTCAAGGCATAACTCAGAATCATATTTTTATTACAAATCCCTCTTCAAATGGCTGTAATATTATATATTACCTATAAAATTAATCATTTCCTAATGTTGATTTCTTTCTAACAGCGTATTCTGAAAAGCATTACTCCAGAAACAGCCACAGAAATTCCTTTTGGAGACATCCGCATGAATGCAGTTTAAGTTAACCTATTTTCTGTGGGAGGCAGGGGGAGCATAAAATTTAACTTTCCCCATACTCTCTCCTCCAAAGAATTATGTTTCCAATTGAGACAAAAAATGGGAGTTTTCCATGGAGGCTGTCACTGACAACAGGCATTTGGAAACATGATGCCTCAAGCACATACATCCAAGCAATTCAATGAAATCTGCTGTGCACTTCTAAACAGACTGAATTCACTGAAGAACTTATTTATTCTGGAAACGCAAAGATGTCTGTATGCATGAGAATACCGTTACTCCATGCATGGACACCAGGGCTGTTTGCAAGTGTGCGTGATTGCATAAGCCACTATAGGATGAGTATCAGCAGGTAGGATTAGATTTAGAATCTCAAGTCTATGGCAGTACTCCTGTATCTTCCTCAATGTGATCGTTTGTACTGGGCCACGTTGTATTTGCTTCTAAGGTTCTAATTGCTTAAACTACATTGAAAAATACAAAAATATTTCTGATGGCCATACACTGCCCAAGTAACACAGGGTTTTATTTAAAAAAAAAAACAAAAAAACACCTTTCATCCCTAGGTTTCTTGTGGAGTAGACAGAGGAAGATGTCTTGTAAGAAACAATCCTGAACAGCACTATATACATCTCTGTGTACAATAGCAAACGCATTTGTTAGCCTTATCCTCCTTTTCATTTCCTGCATTTTGTAGATGATAACAGTTTCTGCTAGTTGTTTTTTGCATAAAAATACCACAAAAAAATTTTTTTTTTGTAATGTAGGCTTCAAAGTCTTAAATCCTTTTCACTTTCCTTTAGACCCAATCAAGCCAATGACTTATCATGGGGAACTTGATTAGCATTTAAGTTGTTAGCAATTACTATATTGTTTTCATAACTAAGCTAGATCTATATATATATATATAAATAAACAATGTCAGTGCACTGATAGACTTAATATTTATTCTCAAAGAAACAATGAATTATTTTGAGTTCTGATGCCAACAAGTGGGCCCTCAAAGCTCTGCTTTTTTGCTTCGCTTTGTTTTTTTTTAATTACATTTCATAGATAAAATTTGTGGGAGGCTGTGTTTTTTTTCTATTGTTTCCTTGTGCAGAGCTAAAGTTTAGAGCAATCCTTTTGACTGGCTGACAAAACTACATTTAACTAACTATACAAACCTGCTTTGAAGTTTTACTAGCTCATATTCTAATGTGGACACACTTGGTTTTCACCCTGAAGAAGAACAGGAGTAATTTTTTCTTTTTTATATAAAAAATTGAGTAGCAGGATTGATTCTGATCAGAACTGTTTGTTTATATTATATTTTGAGGTAGTGATATACAAATTAAATTCTATGCACATACTAATCTCTTTTTACGTACATGTGCTTTCCAAAGATAACTGCCCTTTAGACTGACTGCAACTGCCAAGTCCACAGTTCTGCTGCAGTTACACGGAAGTTTAGATAAACCTAAGTTGTCATCATTTATATAAACACTTACATTGTATTTTTACTCTAATATATAATATAAGTCTATGAAAAGTAAAAACAAAATAGAGCATAAAAGTTTATTTTGTATTTCACTGTCTACTTAGGTGATGTACTATTACAAATAACAAGGTAATGCCTGCTGCTATGAATGCATACATAAAGAAACCTATTGAAAAGTTTACATTGGTGCAAAGAACTTACCACATTAGAGGAATGCAGTTAGGATGCATTTGCCTTTTGAAAACATTTTCATCACTTCAGACAAGGCTTTTCTGCTTAGGTATGCAGACACCTCCTCTAGGGAATGCCTCTCACTTCAGCTGTTGACCTGAGCTCACTTATCTTTGGGTCTCAAGCCCAACTTCTGATAAGGAAAGAACTTAAAGGGACAATGATTTCTTCTGTCTAAATTACTAAAGATTCCTAAACTACATTATTTTAAAAAGGGAAGATGTTCTTGCATTGCCACTAGAAAAGTGTAATAAATCTGTCTTACTGGACAGTTGTTCATAAGAAATAGCATCACAGCTTATAACGCGAGTATTTTTTGAAAAGGACTTTCAAAACTGGCTTTATTGTGACGAAATGAGAAACAGTTTGGGAATTTTTTGTAATATTAGAACACCATTCAGATTTTAAGTTACCAAATAGAAAAATACTGATTTTTTAATTAAACTTTTCAATTAGAAGTTTATTAACTGAAAAATACGTATGAAATGACAATGTAAGATGCATAAAGTATTCATATGTATCCAGTATCAATTGTGGGAAATGAAGGAGGAAAAAATATCCCACCTTCTCCATTCTTCAATCTGGTATTCAACTAATGCTAGATTTCCCCCCCCCCCCGAATAGATAAATATCTTAAATAGACATCTATTACAGGCAGAATTTCTTGCCAGAGTTGATACTGTTTCCTGCTAGACTCTTCCAAAAAAATTTTTTTTACAGTTCTGATTGCAAGTGGATATACATTAGTGACTGACAAAGTCTCCTTAAATAGACATTCTGCTTGCTACCTTTTATTAGGAAGGGTGAAGGCAGGGACAGAGATGGTTGTGTTAAATATGAGCCTTATCTGCATCAAAGCCAAAGGTTTATCTTCCAGCCCTTGGAAATAAACTGAAACTAGGAACATTATTTCTAAGGGAATAATTTGCACAGTAACAATTGCAGAAATCACTGCTATTTAGTGCGCAGTACTACTGACATGTTACAGCTTTACAACAGCATTTGAAATGACAAAAGATGCACCTTTAATTTATATTATTTAGACAGTAAAATACAACAGACATTGCCTTTTGGGTGGTTTTAGCGCAGAAGGCTGAGTAACTGCCCAAGAAATGCCATTGTTTTCTAGCGCAATAGAAGTCAGCCAAGAAGCCCTGATCTTAATACGAGCACTGTTATAGTCGCAGTGTAAAATAAGGCAAGTTTTGTCTGCTTGAATTTCTCAGTTGAAAAATGAGAGAAATGCACTCAGGCTAAAGATGTATTGAAAGAGGCAGAAGTTTTTGAAATCCTTTGAAGATGCAAAAAACAATATAGACATGCATAGTCACAGAAAAAAAAATATTTTTAGAAATTTGCAGTCCAGAAGATCACTAGTGATGCTACATATTTACTTTCTTTTCACTAGAATAATCCAATTTGAGGTCTCCACAGAAACAGGGAGTAAGGAAGCCTTCCACAGCAAATTAAAAAAGGTCTTTCTTTTGCCATATAGTAAAGAGATAAAATACAACCATCTTTTCATTCTACAAAAGCTGAATATGCAAGTCACATTAGTCCCCATTCATTTTTTTTAATGGCAACTTAGTCTCAAGTTTTCTAAATCTTGTTCTTATGGATCACTTCATTTCTTAATACGTTTAGCTCAGTGGCTGGAAAATTGAGAAATTGATTTCATTTATTTTTATTGTTGATTGCTATTTTCTTCCTTTTTTATAACCATCTGAAATAATTTAGAACAACTAACAGTTATCATATAGCTCAGTAAGCTGGCATACCATAAACATAACTTGTCAAAAACCTAGTTATATTGATACCAAATGGGCTGCACTGCAATTAAAAGGGTTTGAGGCAAATAAATTCTTTTGTCTCTTCAACTCACCTTCCACTTACCTACTACATGAGTAAATCCCACCCTATTCTGCATAGTGAAAAGGGAACTTAGGAAACCAGTAAATTAGGAACGTGTTTGCCTTACAAGCAAAGAGTAAAAGAATTAAACTGGAGTTTTAGTTGTACAGAACTAAGTGTTCCCTCTAACTTGTACATGATGCACCTGTATTAATTTATGTGGCTATTTAGTTACAAGTGTTGCAAGCTGATTGTAAGTTATCAGTATGTGCCTTGTACTGTAAACTGTTATTGGAATAAATTTAATATTCATAATCCATCTGTAGGTGTCTCTCGTGTCTCTCTCATGGGAAGTTTTATGCTAGCCTAGAATAGATCCCACTTTTAAAAGCAAAGATAAAACTCAATTTCAAGAAAAAGCAGAATGCGTAGTCCAGTTTACTACACCAACAAGGCCTCTTTGACAAAGAGCAGAGTATTCCCTTTGGTGTCTGAACCTTGGCCCGCTGCTAAATACTCTTTTCATTCTATTCCAACAGAAGATCCAATGTACGTGACATTTGTTTAGACAGAACAGCAAAAGCAAACTCTTCCATGTTTGGAGTAAATGCCTAGTTATTCAATTAACTTGCACATAAAACTTACTCCATTTCAGGTCTTTGCAAACTGGCACGTTTTTGCCTGTAGCTGAACTGACGTTTTACCTAATTACTAGGTCTGATGAACAACATATTAGAGAAATGAACTAACAGATGGTGATACAGTGAAGAAGTCAAAGTCTCAAGACATCAAGACAAAATATTCAAAATAATTTTTTAGACAACATATCTAGAGACTTTAATTATGACTGAAACCTAATGCAAGCAAGTACAAGCTACTTCAGTCTGAACCTGTGTATAACAGGAATTTGGTGCCATGTCACCCGCTACTAGCAATATTAAGTCCCATTAATTCAAACTACGCTTGGACCCTGACCTGAGATCACGAAAACTTAAGGCTGTCTCTGTTCCTACTACTGAACTCTTACAGACAGAAAAGAGGTTTTTGAAAGCAAGGAGGAACCCAAACATTATATTCCTTTTCTCCTTTAACGGTCCTCTACTTAAGATAACCAAAGCTTTGACAGCAATATATTCTCAAACATAAGTCCCCCTCTAGAAAGCATTACACTTGCTGTAAATGGATGACCAGCCCAAAGACTGTTTTCTCTTTTTGCTACTGCCAGTCTTTCCTCCAGCTGCAGCAGATATGTAGCAACAAATAAGCTCTCTCCCTGACTGCATTAGCAAAACATAAGCAGAGCTATCCAAAAATCAAAACAATCTCTTCAGTACCTCTGAACATATTTGCAGCGGTTAAGAAGAGCTCTAGCAAGCTAATTTGATTAGAGAACTTTTAAGTGTCAGACCAAAGAGGCTAACAGGCTGGTAAGACAAGGAGAAAGAAAGAAAGAAAACAAAAACAAACAAACAACCCCGCAAACTTTTGGCCAAAATAAAAGACGAAAAGACAAGGTGGCAAAGTCTTTTTTTTTGTTTGGGCTTCACTCAAGAATCAAAAATTGTAGGGAGGATTACTCAAAACACAAGTATTTCTAGTTAAATATATCCTATTCCTAAGGTTAGCTTATATTTCACCACAGGAAAAAAAAGCAAGCATATCATAAGGAAAAGGGGAAAAAAAAAATCTCCAAACCAAAAACTCTGATTAGTTCTCTTCTGAGAAACACATTTTATAACGAGAAAAAGGAGCCCAGAGGTTTTGGCAGCATTTACTATAACTGAAGAGGACGCAAGAGCACAGATGACTCAGCTGCTCTTTCTACTATAAACTAACGCAGTTAAGTGGATCACACCGTCAGCCTTCTTGACAAGCTTCTTCAAAATGCCACATTTCAAGTCTGAGAACTCTCCTCTTCAGTCCTGGCAGAACACACCGAGCACTCAAAGAACTAGGCTATCAAAGTCATATTTGAGAAAGCCCCATAGATGTTTTTAGAAGTAAAAGGATTACTACATCAGAACCCTCTTTATTATTACTTCACTCAGCTAATTTAAGAGGGAACAAATTGTTATAGGCATTAATCCTACCACCTCTAAAATAAAAAGTATCTACACATACAGTAGACAATTCACAAATCCCAAAATCTTTGCTACGTAAAGCAGACTGAAAATACTTAAACCATTTCCTACAGGAGCAGTTGATTTTTTATGGTTTTTTCGGTGTTTGTTCTGAAACTAGAGGACTGCCATAAAATGATTTCTAAGTGTTGAAAAACATCCTTGTGGCACTTTTAAAAACTTGTATGTTTGATACTCATTCACCATACGTTGTGGCGTAAAAGTGATAAGTTTACCGAAAAAAAAAAAAAAATGAACGAACAAGCTACTGGAAAAATGTTGAAAATATATTCTAAAAACTATGACTGTTGCCAGATACCCTGTTTACCAAGTTATAGTTTGGAGAGAAGTTTATTGCTCGTTTATGAACCCTTGAACAGACAAATTGACAAATTTAAGGTACTATTTCAAGCAGAATAAGCAGGTATGACAATAATACATTAAAAAAATTCATGTACCTTTTTCACAGCAAAAAGATGCAGCTTTTTCCAGTAAAACAACATGATTCAAAAAACCCTAGGTATTAGATTCAGTAGGCATCTTATACTTTATTTATTTATGTACATCAGGTTCCCAAAACCAAAGCCCACACACATATTCAAATCCATTTGTTATGGTGTTTTGTTGGCTAAATGCACATTAATACATACAGAGATTTCCTAGATTATTATTCAGGCTGCTTTTCTTGCATTTTTCTCATTTATAGGTCTGTTTTTCATTTTTGAGGGCATCACCGGGCAACAATAATTCTTGGTACGGCCCAAGAACACTGCTGTTTCAGCAGAGCCGATACCATCACTGGCTGGTAAGAGGAGTAGGAGCTCACTGGAGGAGGTATTCTCACCCAGCGCTGTGTCACACCTGTAGGACTGTCCCAGATTCTTCGGATGAATAATATAAAACACACCAAGCATAGGGTATTGAAGGCCAGGGTGGGCAGAAACAGACAAATTCAATACCTTGACTGTATAAATGTACTGAGGTTGTGTATCAAGTGATCCATTAATCCATTTCAAAAGATATTTCTTCTATTATAGAGCACATTTTAAAGAAAAGACAGGAACAAATAACTAGGATACACTTTCACTTCTGTACAAGAGTTCTTGCAGCAGTGGCTTTTCTCTTTTCGTTGAGACCAAGTATTTTTGTCCACCGAAATGAAATTAATCTTCTTCTTTCTCAATGTAAGATTTTGTACTGACACGTGCCATTTGCCTTGCCAAATAGCGATCCCTTGCTGACATGACTGTCTCTTCATTGCTCCGTTTGGCAAATTTGCTTATGCTCTCAGATGGCTTCTGTGCCTGTTCTTTCTCCTCTTTCTCTCCTTCCTCTCCAGCTTTACGTTTTGGCTCTGACAAAATTCCAGAGCTAGAGCTTCTCTTCTCATCCACCTCTCTCTCTTTTCCCTTCCTATGCCTTTCTAGATTAGTCTCTCCATCTTTTTCTAAAGATACAGGACTACTTTCCCGCCTGTCTCTGTATTTCTTTTCATCACTATCATATTTATCTTTTCTCTCTTTTACATGATCTTCCTTTTCTCTGTACATCTCTCCTCTCTCCTTCTCTCTATCACTGCATCTATCTTTACCATTTCTTAATCTTTCCTTTTCTCGTTCCCCTTCTGAAGACTTCTCCTCTCTCTCCTTTGCCTTCCTCCACTCTTTGCTATGCCCTTTCCTCTCTTTTCTTTCCTTCCCTCTTTGCTTATCATCTTGCTCTTCCCTCTTTCTGTAGTTATCCTTACTAGTATGACCCCTGTATCGATGTCGCTCTTCCTTTTCCCTTTGGTGATCCTTTTCCTGGGTCCTACCTCTTCTCTCATAATCTTTTTCCCTGTATGGTTCATCATTTCCTGTTCTGCTCTCTCCCCTGCTCTTAGGAAGATTTGTTTGTGCTTTTGTGCGCAGCTCATCCTCCTCACTGGATGAGCCTGGTGACCTGGAATGCCTCTGGCTCTTGTGATGCTTAGACTCGTCTTCACTGCTCACAGAGCTGTCTCGCCTTTCCTTCTCTTTCAAATTTACTTTACTATTTTTACGTCTCTTATCATCATCACTACTATCACTTCCTAAATCAGTGTCCGCATCTGGATTATCCTCTTCTGTAGCAGAAGGCTTGAGTCTTCGTCTTTCATCTGGACTTTTGTTTCTTTCATTGGATTCATCATAATAATTGCTAGACTTTTCTTCCTTTATCCTACATTTTTTATGTTAAAAAAAGAAAAAAAAAACATTATACAGCTTGAAATCTCAGATGTTTCTAGAAACTGACTTCTGGTCAGGACTTGAGCAAGACTGCAAATAACCGATGCTGCCAAAAAGTCTAAGTAAGCAAATCTATCTGTGGCTCTGGTTCCAGGAGTCCAGTGCGAAGGATCTGTATTAAAAATTTATATCTGGTTCACTGGTGAATACAAGCAGACGAATTTATCTAAAAGAATGAGCATGGTTAAATATCTGGAGCTTCTGTCCAGGGGACAGGACAGAGATTCGTATTCTAGTGTTAGCTCTTTGGCAAGCTATACTTTTTTATTTATGTGTTTATTCCTCTATTCATGTCAAATAATTATCTGCAGAAGAAGCAGGCCTTATTTTTGGTGACAGGGGTAAGAACATAGCTTCCATTATTAGCAGGAGATTTCTTAATCCAGTATTTCTGAAGATCTCACTCTTTTGGTTAAGCAGAAACTAGTATTTTTTTCCACAGCTTATAGATTCTTAAATACAAGAAGAACCACCATCAAGGACAAATTCACAGATTTCCATTTGGGCACTAGCCAGGAAGGTTATGCTTCTTCATTCTTTTCTGACTGAAGGAAATATGTTTAATCATATATGACACGTGCTTTTTCTTTCTTATCCTGTAGCTACAGTAATGGTTTGTGATAAAAATCTCCTTATGAATCAGTGGACCCTCTAGTTAGATTGAATGTTTGATGATGGTCAAAAGTGTGGTTACTCCATGAAAACTGACTTAAAATTACATTGAAGAATTCCATAATTATGCCTTCATTTGCTTTACTAATCCAAATAATTAAAATGACAAGTCAAAAGTGGATCATTTTGAGGGTAATCGATGCAAATTCGAGATCTGAAATTTGAACTGTTGTTTTTGTATTCTACTGTGCTGCCATAAGAAAGAATAACATTAAAATATACACCTGGGCTCATCTGAAAGCCTAGCTGGGAGCACTATATACAGTCCTACTTGTTTTCCTCCAAATTAATTTTATATACAGCTTGCAAAAGGAACACTTCCATAATCTGCAAGATTAAGAAACCACCGTTTCAAAATGATCTCTACATAGTACAAAATGACATCTTCATGAACTGGCTTTGAAAGAAGCGTACAGGCAAGTGGAAAACCTGGCGGGCCAATCATTACAGCCACTGTTTTATAAAGAAATACAACAGAATAACTTAGATTTCATCAATAAAAAGCAGAAACCATGAAAAAAACATCCTGAGTAGCGATCTTTGCCAGACAGCCACAGAAACCAAGCAGATATTGCTCTCTGGTGAAAACCTGATATAGGACATTTTTCCAAGTGTACAGGTATACTAATGACAAACAATTGTGGCCTCAAATTTCACATTCTCCACTTAAATTCAGGAACCTGTTCTGCTTTTCTTCCAGGCTGTAATTTTTACCTCCCATTTCTTTTACACCAATTTTTGCTATTATATGCAATGAGGTGATATATCCTTGTATTAACGGGATAATCTAGAATTCCAGTATTTCAGATAGCTGAGTAACTTCACTGTGATCACACTTGTGATAGCTAGGTTTAAGGCCCATCAAGTGAGTTTTAACCTGAACTAATTGTTTCAAATGATTATTTATTGCATATAATAAATATATCTCAGTCAACATCTTTATCTAGATGATAGACTTTCACATTCTTAACTCCATAAATAATTCAGCCTCATCTGATTACTTTGTTTAAGACTGTACATATATTAATATTTTAAAATATTCACACTGGACTTCCTATATATTTGATTAATTTCCTTTTACTACAGAATCAACACTAAATTTGTTTTTCATACACCTGTGAATGTGGAACGAGGACAAAGCTGGAGACCCACTTCTTTTTTTCCCAGGAAATTCGTATCATAGCACCATTTCCTATGACTTCAAATTTAGAGCACCTTACTTCTCTATGCTCAGTATTTTACCTTTTGTTCTCCACACGATTAAACTAGGCAACTTAATGCAGATTGCCCAGTATTATATAAACCAAAATAAAAACCAGGTCAGAATAATATCAGGCAGTACCACCAGTATGACTATCCCCTTGATACCTTTTAAAACAGCATCCCTGCCCTGCTTGCTTCTGTCTTAAAGGAAAGTCTATGCCACCGATGATCATCAGACATTTTCCAAATAACTCAGCTGCATAAAGTAATACACTTACCCTACCAGTGTTTTAGCATTCCCCCTCTTTCTATAGGGTTCCAATGCTTCCGGCATCACAAATAACCAGAAGCAGCTTTGTATGTGAAACACTCCTGGAATCACATCCTACCTGGCTTCGCGGAAGCTGCATTTAGGCATCTCTTCTTCCCCCACTCTCTGCTTTAAAAGATGTCTGTAAAATCCACTGAGATCCTTCTGTTTGGTCACATCCAGGCACGCTACGGGAATGAAAGTAAGGTTGGAGTTACTGAGTCACAAATACCTATCAGACACTACGCACAAGTGGTAAGGATATCATCAAGAGACTGTGCATCCTGGAGGTTTTCAAAAGCAGACTAGAAAAAACCCAAAGCAACCTGGCTGGAATAGATGAGCTTCTGAGGTCCATTCAAACCTGAATTATTTTATGATCCTATACTCAGAATGCTGAAAATGCAGAAGATTAAAAGTCTACCAAATTTATATTTCTTGTTCTTTATTCTACTCTCTCTCATAGTCCTTTATGCCTATTTCTTGGACACTTCACAGAATGTCTGAAGTAAGGAGTCTAAGCATTGTTGGACCCCAGGCTTACTAGTCTTCCTTCAACCTTTTGAGACCCTTCCTCAAAATTTAGAAGTAGTAACACAAACAGTACTGACACACAAATTGAGGAGCTTGCCCTATTCCTTCTGTAATCTGTGCAAGGGAAAATAACAGACAGAATCTGGTTCAGTACAGATTGCTATCTATTACTTTTTGGTATTTGTGATATTTTAACTATCTCACAGAGAGTCCAGGATGACAACACTGTAAGTCATATACAAGGCCTTATTTCTTTTTAAGCAGGAGTTATACTGATTCAGTGTGAATCTCACCCTCCAGAGCTGCTTCTCTTCTTTCTCTTTCCTCCTCCTCAGCCCTTTCTTGCAGCTTCTTTTTATAGGCTGAAGTCACAAAGGACTCTTTGTCAGCAAACTCTCCTCCTTCCATTTCACGCTCTTTCTGAATTTTCCTTTCCATCCTTTTTTCTTGTTCCTTCTTTCTAATCTCAGCTGCTTTGAGGATATTTTGGATGTATCTGGGCTAGAATAAATGAGGGAAAATGTATTACATTGAAAGATAATTAAGGTGGCTGGGAAAATACAAATTGGGATTACTAAAAATGTTGAAGAAAGTTTGTAACAGAAGAAAAACAACAGAAGCTAGTCTCACACTGTTTGACAGCAATCTGAAACTGTCATCCCCTTTTAGGACACTCTCATGGCATGCTTCCCTTTAACAACAAAGGAGGCTGCTGCAATCAATTAACACTTCAGCCTAGCTTTCACTAGGATGCATTTGGCTGAGTGAAATCAAATGTTTTGATTTCCCATCCCTCTGACTTCTGTCTTGTCATAATCTTCCCCTTCTATTACTGCAAGGGAGTCAGATGCTTTCTTTTGTATCTGCCATAACCTGACAAGTGTTTTCAAATGAAATGAGTAATAATGAAAATATGATGTCAGGATAATTCAGCAATGCTTTGAAGCAGTGTTGGGCTATAGAAATTGGCTCACATTTCACCAAAGACAGGTAATTACTTCAGTCTTCCAACAGTCCTTCTGTAAGCTCACTAGTGAGTGAGCTGGACAGTTTATGCTCGTTGGCTTAATAACAAAAGCCTTTGTTATCAGAAGCAGTATTCTTGCAGTGCCCATTGGCTCTAATCCTACTATCCCAATATAACAGTCTCTTTAGAAATGCACAAGTATGATACACATCCTAAATGGGCAGGAAACATGGAGATTCTGCTGCCCTCCAGAATACCACTCGAGCAGGACTCTGAAATGTCTGATAAACAGTTTTAGCAAAATTCTTACAAATTACTATCTTATATAACAGGATCTGAGCATAAAACTTGTATGCCCCAGGAGAGAATACATTTAGCTTACTAAGCCAAAGTTTAATTTTAAACAGTCATAGTTATTCCTAGCATACATAGATAAGACAGACAGCATACATTTTCAGGTATGGACCTTTTTCTCATCTTTTCCTGATAATATTTTGGCATTATTTTCTTTCTTCTTCTGCTGCATTTCATCATAAATACTGTCATATTCATACACTGTAGCATCTTCTGCCAAAGCCTTCTGAATCTCCAATTTAGTCTAAATGAGGATAAGAGAGGAAGGGAGGAAAAAAATTACAAAAATGAAGCATGACAATCATATATTTTCAAACATTTTATTTCTATATTGTAATTTAAAGAAATCTACATTACAAACCTATCCATTAAAATATCGGGTGGAAATTAAAAACTGTCAGATCTACAAAGTCCTTGAACTGGTACTAGGCTTGAGAACAGGAACAATCATCAGTAGCGCGCTTTGGCTATTCTAATTCCTGTACCTACAAACAACAGTCAAAACCATACCAAAACCTTCATAATGAATAAGCTGTCCCATCATATAACTAATATATTTTTTTAATTTTATTGTCTGTTTTCATCCATAGGCATCCCCTGCAAAGCTCCAAACAATAAATATGTACCAGTATGATCTGGGTTGCAATTCCATATTTCACAGTTCTATCTTCCGTTTACAAAGTCAAGTTCCAAGCCAGAACTATAAAACAATACAGTTTTTAAAAGCCCCATTTAAAAAAAAAAAAAAAAGAAGTATACAACTAGAGATCTGATCTACTGCTAACAGAAGAGGAATGCTGACTGATAACCACACAAATTTCTCTCAGGCACACATTAGCTCCATCAAAAAGAGAAATATGTTAAATGCACGATGCATAAATATCTTTTCCTCCTCTAGCTATGTCTTTCATTCGTTTGAGGTTTTTTTTAAATGTAAAATACTTGTTTCTTTTGTAAAACTTAGTCCTGAGTTACAGTACAAGTATCATGGTTTGTAAATATTTACAAATTAAATAACACAATACCTTGTCAACTTTAATCTCTTTGTGTTAGTGCTTTCTACAAACAAAAACTGAGAAATTCATTCTAAAAAGATGACTACATCCTATGCCACAAAATAAAATGCAATATCTTGAGTGTTTAAATGCTTGTATTGAGTAAACATAAGTTTTATTATGTTTTAAATTATGATCAGCTCTGCATTAAACCTCAGTTATACAGTTTGCATTAGGCAGTTTTTCAGCTTCTCTGCTCATAGCCAAAAGAACTTCAGAAAGAACAAACCTGCCCAGAAAAGTGGAATAAAAACCTTTGCTAAAAGAAAAGCTCCCATTTCACCTTTGCCAAGTTGAAACTAGAAAATTATTGGTCTCATTTTAAAGAAAGTCTTGTGCTGCAGAAAGCAATACACAAAATTATAGAATTATGTGGCAATTTAAAAAAGGCAATTAATTTTCAAGATACACAACTACATTTCTGCAATTATTTAGTAGGGTGGAAAAAGTATTATGTTACCATTTCATCTCCCCAAATGCAGAATACCTTAAATTCTGTTTATTATCAGAATTCTGGAAAATAATCACGAGCATGTGCCTTCTAGTAAAGATAAATGAGAGATTTTATAATATCCTTTATCTCTTGACTACCGTCACAAAAACAACCAGCTCAGTTACAAGCAGCCTTAACTTTAGAGGACATGTATGTGGAAACCTACAATTATGCAACAGTAATTTCATTCCATAACCACAGGAAGGTAGAATCACATTTTATTTGATTCCGTTATTTTGACCACATTTAATTACAAATCAAATAATTTGAGTTATATTTGCATTTGGTGAAGACAGGAGGCCAAAAACAGTGGGGGACATTCTCACTTCCTCTGCCTTTTTTAGGGATGCTCTAGGAAAAATTGGGAAACGCACTGCTTGACAGATGTGCAGAATCCGCAGAATGCATGGCAATAATTTTCGGATGCACTACCACATAAAGAAGCAGAAAAAACCCCACACTAGCTAAACTATTTATATAGGAAGTTTAAGAAAGGAAGGTATTTTATCAATATGACAGAAACCATACAGAAAGGCAGTTCCACATACACTGACATCATTAGCAAAGCCAGATTAGAAAGTTCCTCTGCTTTGCTCACTCCAGCTGGTTATTTTTTCCTGTCTCTGTGGCCCATTTCGTCCTCTGTCCACACCATTGCTTGTGAGCATGTACTGTCAACCTGCTTATTTCACAGGTCTCATTAACAGTGCAGATTCTTCATTCATTATCCCAGAACAACTGAAAGTGCAGGAATAAAAGGACAGGAGCTAGAGATTCCTATTCTTAGCTAGAATTTCTGATAGCTTTGCCACCAAAGAAAACATGCCTGGAACCGCACCTCTGTTGAGCTGGCTCCCTGAAGACAAACACTCAAATGCAGGTAAAACCATCATTTAGCTGTGAATATTAAATTCAGTAATTTCCTAACTTGCCATAGGCCTGAGGAGTCCCTATCACAGCTTACCTGTTTCATTGCTTGTTTTTTCAATGCTTCTTTCTGAAGACTTTCACCAACAGATGTCTAAAAGATGGAAACATTGCAGGAGTAAAGTTAATAATACCGAAATAGCCCATGGTATTTTTCTACTATTCTAATGGACAACTGTTAAATAGTCTCATTACATCAGCCTGTCTTGGAGTATTTTCCTGAAACAGTATTTTCCTGAAAGCAAGAAAAACTAAAGGGTCATTCATAAACATACAATGAATCGGCCTTTTCCATGAGCAAAACTGCAATACCTCAACATATATACTTATTTTATTACAAAAAACAACAGTGCTGAGTTTAAAAATACAATTTTAATGAACGGTGTACCTCAAAAGTTGCACATAATTTGATGCTGTTTCACAAAACAAGCAATCCCCGTTCAATAAATGCTCAGAGACATGAGGAGGTCCATGACAACTGTTTTTTCCCCCCAAAGACTTGCTTCAACCACTGCCAAACAACTGGTAGAAAAGATACATCCCACAACTAAGACAAGGATCAGTCTACTGGTGCAAGAATCTAGCCTATCAGCAAGCAAAACATCTAGAAAAGGGCATTTAAGATTGAAACAGATTCCTAAGAGGAGGATGCTTGCAATGTGCCTACTTATTCTCGAAAACACTAAATTTCCCTTTTGTTGCTACAAAAGAAAAGGGGGAAAAAGGGAAAAAGGAAAGCACTGAACTCCACCCTCAAGTTAAAAGAAATTGGAAGTGAATCCTCCCTACCAAGCTGTGTATCAAAAATGTTGTTAATGTTACTGGAAACTGTATGCTTGTGAATACAGAAGGACAAATATTCTCAGGGGTTTTTTAAATTATATTTCTATTAATCTGTGAAATAGGTAGATGCTGTTCAGAACGTACAGTTTCCAATCTGTACATTTAACCAGAAGCACAATAGTCACGAGCCAACATTTTTACTGACAATCATATGAAAGAACTGTATTCACAGTCAGAACCAAATATCCTAAAGGATTTTGGTGCTTATTTCAAGTTGGTCTGTGCCATCAGTACTGTCTTTTTAAAATAATAAGAATGCTGCTAGTTTGAACAAGTACTCTGAGCATTGATGTCTGATTTTAATTTTCAAGATTAATATGCTAGAAAATAGCAACAGTAATCTTTCTTGGGAAAAAAGAAAACCACTGCTGAAAAATGTTTTCTTATCATCATTCTTTCTTTAAAATAAATGAATAAAATCACATTTTAGGTAGTTTGTATTTTAATTCATGTTGAACTAGACTGCATATCTTTCTTCTCTCAACCAATAGAAAAATATTCTTTACTGAATAGATTCACTAAAAATGACAGGAATCATAGTCTTGTTTACGCAATTAGATATCACTTAATCTTATAAAACAGAAATAGGAAGCAAAAATCCTTTTCCATTTTGGCAACTTCCCAGGTTTTGCACCTTTGAATAGAACATACTCGATACCACATTTTAAAAAAAGAAAGATGGTGTAACCAATTGTTAATTAAAAATAAAAACTGAAAACCAAGTAGCGGGAAGCTTGGAAGCAGGAACTAGGATCTTCTGAAATCAAATAAACCAAGTACAATGTAAATTCAAATAGATCCACTGAACAAAAGAGCTTTGTATTTCATTTGGTGCTTAGAGAATAATAATCCATCGTGACCCCTTTTTCTTGTACTGTTGAAATTTTAACATGACAGATTGTAAACAATTCAATTCTTTTTCACTAGTTTCTTACAGAAACACAGAACAAGTTCTGCCATGAGTAGCAGAATTAATGAAGTATCGTTTTATATAGCTTTGTACAATCTGCCTCCATTCCCTTTATCATCATCAGAGGTATCCTGCCTGCTTGATTTGGCAAGTGGGCAGCACTCTGTGTGGTCAAAAACTACCACTGCACTGAGCAGTCAGTCAGCTGTTCCTTCTCAAAATGGAGAAGGATTTAAAAAAAAAAAAAAAAATCACAAAACCACCTCTATGTCTGTCCCTTTACCCAGATGCCAGCTTTCATGGAAACTAAAGGAACCCAGCATCTTTGGACCTCTGCCACCTAACAAATATGGTTAAGAGTGGTTAGTGAGTTCAAAAGGTATATGAGAATAACTAACAGGTAAACACAGTGACCATAATTTTTTTCTGCTGTGGGGTCGGGAAGAGGGGGACTTGAAAGCTTCTGTGTAGCCATCTCTAAAAAAAAACTGAAAGGCAGTATCTTGGAGGGACATCAGGTAATTCTGAACTCAGCAAGAGAAAAAAGAAGCGAAGGCAACGCTGTCAACACTGAGAAAAGTACATATGGTATCACATAATAGTATCCACTGAATTCTACTTACTCAGACTCATTTCCTTACTTCCATATATGCTATGACTTAGTTTTGTGAGTAATTCTATAATCGAAAAAAACAAAGAGATGAACTATTCAAAAATATTCCTTCATAGCCCTTGCTGAGTAAGGGACTGACAGACAAGTGGAAAGGAATTTGAAAGCTTTAGTTGCTCTGGGCAGAACAGACTTAGACAAAATCCATCTCTGGTTTCAAAGCGTTAAACCTTATATGGTTAAACTACAATAAGAAAGTGAAAGCATGAGGTGCATTTTGGAGGGGAAAAAAAATGCATTGATTCAGTTACGCTTATCACTAGAAGGCAGTAACTCTCTCTCTCTCATCCAGTTGTAGATAACCTGGTAACGAAGCAGATCGCATTTGAGGCTTTAGGGGGCTGAGCTGGGCAGACATTAGCAACACACTCACAAAAAGTCCACTGTTATATCCATAACTACATCCTGTGTGTTGCAGCTTGCTGTATTATTTGGACTAGAGTTGCATATATTCCTCTCATTCAGTTCTTAGTTGGTTGTTTGACTGGGGGAAGCGGATAAAGGACTCTTTGGTTTAAAATAATGTACATGAATCCTGGTTTCAGTCATCATGTATTTTCCTGTGGCCTTCAGATTGAATAGCTGATGTTGAGAAATATTTAAAATACTAGACTTAATATTCAATGTCATATGTTTTCTTCTAAAAATACCATCTAGAAAGCAGTATGATTCTCTTAGTATAAGCATCTATTTTCAATTGGCAGCGGAGTACACATCAGCATTACACAGAAGACCTGGACTCGCTCCCAGCTCTTGGGGAAGATGATGGTCCTCTGCTTAACATATGAAGTAACATAACTGAAGGATTCCTTTATCAGACCCTCTTACAGTGGCTATACAGAAAGCTAGCTAAACAGTAAGGAATCTCCTCTGCCGTCTGCCAGAAAGCAGGAGCTCATTGAATGAGGAAAGGAAAAACAGTTTCTGCAATTATATTTAAATTATATTTATATAAAATCAGCTTCATTCCACTCAAATATTTGAAACTGTTTAGAATGTTTTCCTTGTCCTACAAGAAATAAATGCACTGATCTATAAAGATTATGCAAACACAGAAGTAATACACAATCCTCATTATTGCACATAAACTGTAAAGAAGTTCACCTGTGATTTGTTTATCCAGAACGGCAGTAAGTTTGCAAAAAACAAACACCTTCCCTAGGTTTACGGTTGACAATTTCCTGTTGTGCTATGAGCTCTGATAGATGAGAACTTCCTGTTCTTTTGTATTGTTTTTACTTATCAACTGCCCATTTATTAAAGGTCCTACAAGCTCAGCAATCTGTCTCATACTTTCTGTTTCCCTGCAGTCAAGCTATTCTTTGGAAGCACAAAGCTTGTAGTTTAATATTTTCTGGATGGAGAAAACGTTTTAACCCTATCCTGTGAAACTGTATAGAATCCATGCAAAATCCAGAAATCTTAGAAACAAGACCCAACAGTACACCAGCCCTACAGAGGCATGAAAGACAGCCTGTATGTAAAAAAAACATAACAAAATAAGTGGCCCAACATCTACTAATGTTTTTACTGTGCCTTCCCATTTCTTTCCTCCTACAGATACCTTTTCCTTCAGGGTTCTTAAGCACTTGAACTACCTCCTTATTTTTATGCAGCAGTTAGCACCTCTTGTAAGTAAGTTGCTTCTTAAAACGACTTCCTTACCTTACTCCTACCTAAGCAAAGAAGAACAGGCGTTCAAGCTACTAACCAAGGTTTCTGGCTTATTTCTGGTAAGTTCAAATCATGCTAACAACATACAAACCATTTACAAAAAGCTCAAGTCAAAGTTCGAATCATCTACAAAAAGCTCAAGTCAAAGTTCCAATCAAATATTTAAAAAGATGATTCCACAAAGGAGACAACTAACAAATTTCACTTTCTTACAAGTTTATCTTGTATGGTCTCGCTACCTTCCCACCATAATGTCCCAGTCTTCCCACACCTGCGGGTCCCATTTGCCATTCCTTTGTTTCCCTCTGCATCTTCTGCTTCCTCCCACCTCACCTTCCTGCATCTTCAATTTCCTCTTTTATCTCCAAATCTTCCCACCATTGCAAGAGCTCTCTCAAACATTCTTTATGGGCTCCTATAATAGCGGAAGCTGCCTCTCACGTTCACTGAATAGCCCAACTACAACATCTCAAGTGCTATCCCACACGCACACCCCTGAAACAGTCTGAATTTCTCCTCATGTCCATGAGTGCTTTCATTTGGATCACCTAAGAGGCAATGCATGTTGTGAACGGTCAACATGTAGGAACCCGATTATCAGCTAAATGGCACAAACAGGCTGACTAGGCAGCCAGCCTTCTGTGTCCATGCCAACCAAACAGAAATGATGTGGGTTGAGGTCATCTTGCCTTTCCCCTCATCAGGGCATTAGCATGGTCTTTGTTCTGAAGCTAGACATGCCTAGTCCTGTCAAATTTGCTTGAAATTGGGCAGCACGTTCAAGAAGTTACTAGGGGCAAATGTCAGACAATGACTTGTCTAAATCTCTTTTTAGGAAACTAGACCAAAAGAAGGACAGCATATCATTGAATTGAATGTGCTTTGTTCTCTGGGTTCTATTTACTCTTCTGATCTGTTAGCCATCTCATCTCTTCTTGACAAAAAGCCAGTTGCTGGCTTTGGGTTTTTAGCAGCAATTCCTTCTAAATTCTGCTAT